TTTTTTTTTTTTTTTTTTTTATTACTTATTTTCAACTTTTATTTTGTTGGGCTTTCTTTTCTCTTATTTATAATCAAATTTAATGGTACATTTTATGTTTTCTGAATTTTGTGATTTAGAACATGTTTATAAATTAATTAATAACCATTTATATTCAATCTAATATTTAATGACTTACCATTGGATTCGTAAATATATTATAAAATACATTTTGAATTCGACAGACTTGAAAAAACATAAAAGGCATGTGAACGCTAAAAACAAAATTATAATTAAGAATATGAAAGTTAAAGAGGTGAAAACACGAGATAAAGGTGACAAAGTATCTCCACAATTCCCTTTTGTTGTCTGATACAACAAAGTTGCCTATGTTATTGCTTAAAAGGAATGAAACTAACGTAGATATAAGAAATTTCAGCATCGAAAAAGTTGATTTACTTGAGTTTCTCAATTAATTATTTGATATTTTGATAATAACAAACACGCTTTTAATTATTAATAATTTCAGTATTCCAAAGTGTCCATAGTATAAATCTTGTAATGACGATTCCGACGCCTTCTAAATCACGTAAATCATGACTAAAATGAAAAAGTTACTGTCGAAACAAGATCAAGTAAAATATATCCGACGACGTGGCACCTTACCTCATGAACTAATCCAAGTATGACACACGAAGTTTTGGATGAATAACAATGGTCCGATGGTTTAGTAGCTTATAAAATTCATATTCTCCTCGGCACACAAATTTTTTTACAATTTTTAATTTTTCCTCTTCTTTAAAGTCCATACCCAATTCATATTTCTATTTATCACTCTCTATGGACATTCTATTATCTTATGTACGATGGCACGTGTCCCATGGTCCCTACACGTGTCATATGCTTGAATGTTATGTCGTATGATATGTCATATGACATGTATGAACGCTTACAATATAATATATAATTTATATCATATAATGTGTACGGATGTTTATTATGATGTATTGACGGTGTTTCCGTTAGTGAGTGATATGGTCCGACAAGCCAGACCCAAAGGGTTTGTGGGTTTGCCAGCCCACCTAGTGGACCCATGCTCACACGCGTGGGTCATATGTCAAAAAGCATCCAATCTTTTTTGGATGGGAAAGCTTCCTAAGACCCGGATATGTATGACCATGGATGCATTTCCTTTTTTTAATCTTAGGTTAGATTAAAGCAATGTTTTATTCTCTAGTTTTTGGACATATTGTTTATTCTTATTTCATATATGCTTTCATTTTTTTACGTGTTATTTTTAATGTGAACGTCTATGGTATCGTTAGTACGATATTTTCCACTTTGAGTATAAGCTTCAATTTGGGCACTTCCCTCAAAAGGTCTCATACCAACGAGATGTACTCCTTACTTATAAACTCATGGTCATTCCTTGAATTAGCCAAAACTCATGATTATTCCCTGAATTAGCCAAAACTCATGATCATTCCCTGAATTAGCCAACGTAGTACTCACTTCCAACCATCCTCAACAATATAAAAGTCTCTGATCGGCTAATTTAGAAAATGATATAGGTTTATAATGCTCAAAGTGGACAACATCCCCGATCCAAAAAATCTTATAAGATAAAATGAAAATAAATGGCAAGAACGGATAAGGTTCCAATCTCCACTCCGGCCTATGAACATCTCTAGTAGTATCGACCTCCGGCCTATGAACATCTCTAGTAGTATCGACCTCTCCCGTAATAATCAAGATCCATCATCTCCATGGCACAAAAATTCACAAACCAATTAAATCAAACCCATTATATCAGAAGGCACATAGTATTAGAACCGCCGCAAGCTTTAATGTAACATAAAACTGATATGAAAGTTTACAGAATCATTCAATCTCTCAACTTCAAATTTTGCGGGTACAACATATGGGAAAACAAGGCAAAATGATTTCAACACTCCATATTAAAAAAACACTGACCTCATACTCATTAATTTGTAAGTTCCATTATAGCAGATACGATATCGCCATCGGCTGCTTTGAGTGCTTTCACGGCCTTTGGTCTCGACACACCAGCTTGAGTCATCACCAGTTCAATGTCCTTGGGTTCGACCCCATCCTCATCGACAACTTCGTCATCTTGAACCACGGTTGATGGCTCAGGCTTTGATGTCAAGTTACTCAAATTAGGTGCCTTGAACTGTTCTGCAGCTTGGGTTTGTAGTTGGGAGCTCAAATCTTCAATCTTGGCTTCCCCAAAGATAATGTAGGTATCTGAAGTAGGACTCTTGAAAACATCTGGTTTTGAAATGACAAAAAGAATCTGCAGAGAAAATTGTCACAGGTTTCAGATGTATCTTTCGAGATCAGATGATCGAGATGATCGAGCTGACAATATTTTAGAAATTCAAATTTTGGGTATTAAAAAAAAACAAACATTCTTGCTCTTCTTGATCGTGACGCGGCTCACACCAGGAATTGGCTTCATTCCTAGTTTCAACATGGCTTTGCGACTCTTTTTTTCACTTCTGCTTTGCCTAGACCTGCCACTGGCCTCTCCATGCCCTGCCAGCGGGAACTCCGTACTCATATAACATGTAACAAACAAATATACATACACAATACAACAAATGGAAAATGCAACAAACTAACTGAATGGAGAATGAATCAGGCATTAGGTTAAACGATTTATTAAGAATTACATATATCCTATATGAGAATGGAGAATAAACGAGCACGCATCATTAAGAATCAGGCCACAAGTTCACAAATTCAACATTAAGGGAAGTTTCCAGATGTGCCCAAATGCTAAACGACACAATGATTCGATCCTAACGCTCCATTTGGATGCACCATATCAAAAAAATGGTCCAAAGTCAGTATCCCAACCATTTAAATTATCCCCAAGTTTCCTATCCAAATTTACAGAATCACTCACAATGGCCGTAAGGGAAGCCTCCAAATCAAAATTTAAAAAGATTGTGAATTCAGAAACTTTAAATTTAGATTTTATCGGACACTGGATGTGTGTCCTGTCATGTGCAGGGTACAAAAGATAGAATGTTATTTCTGGTCTATTTTCGAACCTGAATGAACAAAACATAAAAAAAATCCGAACACTTGTACAGTATTACTCATCCCATTTATAAGTTATATTATGATCACAGCTACACGCACAAATATATGCACTGCACCGCTTAAGATAGCATCCGTGTGAAGAAAATGCTGAACGAAACAATTAATTCAACTTCTAATTCTCTGTTCTTGCATTAACCTAATAGCAGAATTAACTAAATGAACTGGTGGTATTTGGAAACGCCTATAAATGCATAATCATATGCACAGTGGAGAGTCAACGAAGGAATCTTTGTACAATGTTAACTCTTCAAATGTTCAGTTACCTTCAGCATCATCCTCATCTTTGTCATCGTCTTCTTCATCATCATCGTCATCGTCCTCCTCTTCAATTACAGGTTCATCAGACTGCAATATCATTAGCAGAAAGTTGGTACAAAATTATGAAAATATACTTTTACGGTGTAAAATACATCAGTTCTCATTTTTATCTCGTGGAATCGACATAAAATATCTACAACCGACTGTTGCACAATCGGCAATGTAAAACCCTCAACAACATACTTCATTTCTTGATTGATGATACTATGCATCATTGATACAATACAAACACATGATTCTAAAATGCCAACTTTCAAATTAAATGCCCTCGAAACGGTTTCAAAAAACCAAAAGCAAATCTTCCCCAAAACCAAACCCGAATATGGCTTGAAACAGAGCAAATAATTTTTAGTACTGAAATTTCGAAACAACAAAACATTGGAATCGAAGAACCAAATGGTCCAAGTCACAAAATGATTGAAGATAAGAAAATCCGTCATTACAGCTGATTTTAAACTACCACAAGTCACTGTGACAGATCTTAAACTGAGTTCCTTGTGACAAATCTTTCAGTTCTAGCAAGGAAAAGTCACGAAAGAGAGAGAAATTACATTAATCTTTTGCTCCTCTAGCTGAGCGGCGAGAAGCTCTTCCTGGGTCTGAGCAGTCATGTCGTTAGAAATGAGTTGAGGAGCAAAACCCACAGAAAGCTTTTGACGACAGAAGAAACCCTAAATCACAAACTGGCTCCACATATTTATAGGAGCTCATTTGGGTCCGGGTCCGGGTTCGGGTTCGGGTTCGATTAAGGATTTTGGTATTAAGTAATAAATTAAATCTAATAATTATTAGCTTTAAATTTTGTATTATTTAATAAATTCTTATATTTTTTATTTTATTTCTAATAAATATTTAAGATATATTAGACATAAAATATTCGTATTACTTTTATATTTTAAGTAAAGGTACGACACTCATGTACAGTTGACTACGACGTCACCATTAAAGATCATGACACATGCATAGAGTAGTTGCATTAAATTTCGTAGATTATAGGTTAGTACAGGACATTACTATTTTTTGCATTTACTTATATTTATTCTTAATATTTCCCGACCTAACATGTAAGCCCATGGTATTCTTTTATGAAGACGTATTAATGAATATTTCCGCATAAGAAGTTACGTCATACATACGATAGCAGCTTTAGGTCAGTAGAAAATTTGTGTCGTTACATTTTTTTATCAGTTTAATCTTGTCAGGAAGATCTACAAGTCTAAACTGAATTTGACCCGTTTATTCTTGTCGTCATTTTTTATTACTACTTTGAGGTCAATAAGCCTTTGTCCTCTAGCATAACAACCTATGACTAGGATTCACTTGAATCTCAAATGTAATTAAATTGTTAATTACTTTTGTTGACTATCTCGTGACTTTACTTGAAACTAATTTATTAACATTATCTCATCTTATTAAAGATTTACGGCCTTTTCTTTAATGCTCCTCCAGAAAAGGGATATTTGTCGGTAAAAAAAGAATGGGAAAGTTTGGTAAAATGGTATGTTTAATATGCATTGTATTCATTAGGCATATTTATATTCCAAAAAACCGTACCAATTCCATATTTCAAGAATTTAAATACGAAACAATGTTCTGGGAAGAAAAAAAAGAGATAGAATAAATATGTCCAGATATTTATTTATCCTAAATAATTGGACTACAAGGGGACTGATTTCGGTAGTCATTTTGTTTTAATTGATATCATCAAGAAGATTGATATGAGGTCGAATTGGATGTTGAGGAGCAGATTGAGGCTGGTACAAAGAATAATTAGTAACTCCGGCCTAGACCAACTAAGTAAAAGGTCTTACTATGGGTACGGATAGAAGTTTATGTTTGTACGGTGACACTTTCCCTATGGTTTTGCATGTGTCAGATACTTGATATGTGTAAAATGTTTATGAAATTATATGACTACGATATGATAGGTTAATGTTATGACAAATGTTATGATATTATATATGTTATGGTGTAACATGTTTGGTGACATAATAAATGTTGGTAGATGCTTTATGATATGATACATGCCTGATATAATGTGATAGGTTGAAGGACATGTTATGTGCATAATATGATATATGATATGAATGATACGGTATTCAACTCGGATACATGTCTTAAACGCTATGCTGTAAAATGATATAATATGAAGGAAAAATGGAAGGGGTTGATTTATATGGTTTAATAAATGAAAAACGTTGGAACCTCGTGCATGATCGTATGTTTCATGCATCGAGATATTTCTCCGTTTACGACGAGTACGAACGTATACATTACGAAAAGGAAAATGATTATTATGTTTATCATAATACTACGATGGTCATTATTCTTACTGGGTATCGGACAAGAGCACCAAAGAATGCTAGCCCGAAATAGAAAGGAGTATAAGAGGTGTGCGAAGAACATAGTTGAACTCATAATCAATCCAGAGTTTATAAAAACTACGTTTACAAAACATTAAAATCTCTGAACTTCAAATTCAGCAGCTGAAACAGAGCGGGGAAAAGAAGGAAGAAAAGATTCCAACGCTCCACCTGATAGAGCTCTCTCTTACTAATTTGTAAGTTCCATAATGGCAGACACGATATCACCATCCGCTGCTTTGAGTGCTTTCACGGCCCTCGGTCTCGATACCCCAGCTTGAGTCATCACCAGTTCGATGTCCTTCGGTTCAACCCCGGACTCATCGACTACTTCGTCGTCTTGAGCAATGGTTGGTGCCTCAGGCTTTGATGTCAAATTACTCAAATTAGGAGCTTTGAACTGCTCTGCAGCTTGGGTTTGTAGCTGGGAGCTCAAATCTTCAATCTTTGCTTCCCCAAAAATGACGTAGGTATCGGAAGTCGGGCTCTTGAAGACGTCTGGTTTCGAAATGACAAAAAGAATCTGCAACGAAAATGACATCGATATTAGACGTATCTGGGATTGAATCAATTTAGAAAATCGAACTTCGGATGTCGAGAAAACCAACATTCTTGCTCTTCTTGACTGTGACACGGCTCACACTCGGGATTGGCTTCATTCCAAGTTTCAGCATTGCTTTGCGACTCTTTTTTTCGCTTCTGCTTTGCTTCGACCTGCCACTGGCCTCTCCGTGCCCTGCCACAAGAAACTCTATTCTCACAACAGATACTAACCAAGTAACGCATGTGCAACACACAGACACGAGACAGAGAGAGATCAAGGCAACATTCCAAACTAACTGGAAAGAAACATAAATTATCTGCATTCACTAGATTAAATTACTGATCAAGTCTCTGTTAATCAAAACTTAAACTCGTTTATATGCTCTGCACCACTGCACATGAACAATGAATAAAGCAAATAACATAAAGAATTCCACAAATTCAATCATATTTAGCTTTAGAAAGCAACAGAGTGGAGAAAATGCTCAAGAAAACAATAACAAAACTCCAAAGGCTCCTTGTATTCATCTTTTATCAGAATCAACCAAATGAATTGACGAGATTTGGAAAAGCCTATAATGTGTAATCATATGCAGAATACAGGAAAAATTATGGAACTTAAAGAGTTAAATAAAGAAATTGATGAGGAAATCCATGTACAAGTTACTTGTTCAATATTCACTTACCTTCAGCATCATCCTCATCCTTGTCATCATCTTCTTCATCATCTTCGTCGTCGTCATCATCCTCAATTACAGGTTCATCAGACTGCAATATCATTAGCAGAACATTGATTAAAAAATTATGAAAATATACTTATAAGTCTTACGGTGGAAAATACAAGTAGGTATCATTTTTTTATCTTGGAAAATGAACAATTGAATGATGATACTACATACATCATTAATACAATACAACCACATGATTCTAAAATACTGATATTCCAATTAAATGCACTCCAAACGGTTTCAATAAAACTGATTTAGCAACAAAATATATATATATATATGAAATTACATCGCGACGGATTCAGTCACCACAAGCTAATCTCCTCCAAAACTAACACGAAAATGACTTGAAACAGAGCGAGAAAATTGCATCATGTACTGGAATTTCGAACTAATAAAACATTGGATTCGAAGAACGAAATTGCTCGGATAACAAAATGAGTTGAAAAAAAAATCCATCATTGCAGCTGATTTCAAACTACCACAAATCACAAGCAACTCTTAAGAAAAAGGGAAAAAAATGATCTAAGACTGAGTTGCTTGTGACAAATCTCTCAGTTCTAGCAAGGAAAGAACACGACAGAGAGAGTAAGAGAGAGAGAGATTACATTAATCTTTTGCTCATCAAGCTGGGCGGCGAGAAGCTCTTCCTGAGTCTGAGCAGTCATGGCGTTGGTGAAGAGTAGAAGATAAGCGAGACAACCGGGAAAAAAAAAAAAACCACAGAATCCTTCAGACAGCTTCAGACGACAGAAGAAACCCTAAAACCCGAATTGACTCCACGTATTTATACAAGCTTTATTCGGGTCTGATTCCGGGTTCGGCTCGGATTCAAATTTAATTATACACGTCTATTTAATGTATTTGATATATATTAATTATTTTAATATTTAATAGATGAAACCCAATATATATATTTTTCTCTTTTAAATTTATTATAAATATTAATTTCAAAACTATTATTTTTAATATATTTAATTTATGAAATACTTTTTTTTATTTTAAATATCTAATATATTAAATATTAATTTAAATATTTTATTTAATCAACCGAGACAAACCCGTCTTTCCAACCTGATTTGTGTATCACATGAAAATTAATGCTTATTATTTTAAGCTCTTCTTAGCCATCCTATCCTGAGAATCGCTCTTATTAAGATGTGGTGTTGGTTCATTCATGTACCCTTCTTTTACTCGTGTGTCACATGCTCACCAACTTCCACCTTAGTTCGTCTCCGAACCACATCTTACTAGAGAAGTTACGACTCTAATACCATTCGTAACGACTCATGCCTAATTCAGATCATGATTCGAATTTGAAAATTTGAATTAAGTACTTGATAGCCCTAACATTTCTCTGCATCCTCTACGACATGGTCTTGGAATCCGAATTCGGTATCTAATGGCTCGACATTCCCCTGCATCCTCTACGACATGGTCACGCTGTCTACTTTCCGCTTCTTAAAGAGCAAAGACTATCCTCACTTACCAAAACGAGTCATTCCAGCATACTTTGTCTTCACTCACATGCATCCCAATTTTTTTAAGAGGTCACCCAACATAGAATCGTTCATATTGATATATATAGTGACTTTCAAATCTTTTGAACTTATTATCAGAATCGTTCTTATTTGGATTTGGTACTAGTTCATTCATGTATCATTCCTTTGCTCGGGTGTCGCAACGTATGTCTTTTAGTTTTTACACTTTAGTAGTCTCGTCAATTTTATTTTAATAAAAAAAATTAGCAAATTCTTCGATACAAAATTGAAGATTCATTAATTTATTAGACAATTTTATCGAACTTAAAATTTTAAAAATCCCAAATATTGAAATTAAAATAATAATAATAATAATAAAAAACTTAGTTTTAAGGTGACGAGTGAAATTAATTTGGTTGTCTGGTGAAGGACATGCCAACCACCTAATTTAATGTCTTGCTCGTAAAATAATGAGTATCTTTTACTTATAAATTTTAGAGCTCAAGTTGTTCGAGCCATCCATCCGGAAATTAAATTTTCAGTACCAAAAATTTCAG